GGAAAGGATGTAGTAAGTATTTATAAAAAGGGTATTATATTAAATTAACCAAAGTATGTAAGTATATAATTTTGTGTTTTTCTTTGAGTATAATACTAAGAGAAAAATAACAAATATTTACATATACCACAATCCCATCCTCGCAAAATTCCCGTTATTTTTTTTTCCTCTTTAACTTATACATGATTTTTTACCTCACCGTTACTTATAAAAGGAAATATAAACATGAATGCTAACCGAAGCTTTTTCTTTCCTTCCTCGACTACCTTGCCCACCGCCACCTCCATCAACTCCAACTCCAACTCCTCTTATCTACTCGCATCCTCCTTAGTAGCGAACGCTTCCAAAAAGTATGTATTATTTTTTTTTATTTTATTTATTTTATTTTATTTTACGATTTAAAATAAATGTCGTTTAATTAAATAATAAATTTTTTCGTTTTCCTAACTATGAAATAATAAAGGAACACCAACTCCGCTGAAAGAAGAGCCAACCACAATGCCGTCGAACGCGCACGACGTGAGTGTCTCAATAGCAAATTTCAGGAGCTTGCTCATGCTCTTCCTTCCTTGGCGCAAGTTCGCAGACCGTCGAAATCAATCATCGTACAAAAATCCTTAGAATTTATTCTCCTTGCCCAACAAAAAGATGAAATGCACGAGAAAGATTTACGGGAGATGCGAAATGAAAACGATATGCTGCGGGAAGAGATTAATAGACTTAGAGAACAACTTGGATTGGAACCTCTCCCACCACGCGAAGATACAAACCCTTCACCTTCAGATGATGCGAAGGAGGACGCAATATCATCTAATAATACCGAGTTAAAAAATGAAGCTGATAATATCAATAACAATACTTCTACTACACTTAATTCCACCACTAATAATAATAATAATAATAATAGTAATAATAGTAATTGTAATATTATAAATGGAAACAATATACAAACAACTGCTGATGTAATCATAAAATCCGAGGAATCCCGCCCTGATGATGATGAAATCAGTGGTGGTAATTCAGAGGATGAATACGAGGTGGATTCAACAACAGATATGGTGACTGGTAAGATGGACGAACAAAATCAAAATATTAATGAAAGCCAGCAACATTCATGTTTATATGATAGTATGTATACTAATTCATTATAAACATATTTAGCTGTTTGGTTTTTCTTTTCTTTGAATTTTGCAGTTCAATTAGAATTAAAATATCAATTTGTTTAATTCTTTTCTTATTACCTTATTTAAAAGATCAAACAGATTTAACGTATATGCTAGACCATACTAGCTTTCCTCAGGACTTTGATTTCTCATCACTTCAATTGCATCCTTCACTGGATCCGATGAATGATGCTACTGGTCTCAATTTAAGTTTTGAAAGTCCTGGTAAGTTTTTAACGATTAATTATTTCTATACCTTATTAATTATCATCATCATCATCATCAACACAATACTTGAATCTTTCTCTACTTAATTGGTTGTGTTTCTCTATTCATTGCTTTATCTATTATTTATTCGTACATTTATTTATTTATTCAATTATTTTTTACTCATTGAACATTCATTTGAATTTATTGAATATTTTATGTCATTTCTAGTGCATGGCGATATTGGAATGTATAGTAGTCCTTATTCTCTAACTCAAAAATTCTATCCATCTCCACCATATCAAGCCGCAATTCTGGACATTAATGGTCATATTCCTGGCTATTCCTTGTCACCCGAATCGCCGCACATATAGACTTATAAAAATGGATTTTCAAATGAAGCGCGCGATTCCATGTTATTCTGTGAATACAACCATTACCTTTAATTGTCATCCTCTTAATCCTCGTTCTGATGAAAAAGAATTTTCGCGATGCTGGAACGCCGCTAACTTTTTCCCACCAACAATCTAATCAAATTAATCAAATAAATTACCACCACCCCCTCTTAATAAACTATTTTACATCGCGCACAAAATTACATCTCTATAGCAGCATGCAGATAATCACCTTTCTTGCCGACTAATATTTTTTCCATTTAATATACATATAGATTTCCACCTCCCCATTTTTTTTAAGAGAATAATAGAAAATTAATTTCCCTCCTAATTTATATCTTCTCTTTTTTTAATTCTTTAATTAACTGGCTGATTGTTTATCCACCAAAGCAAAGACACAAAATTATATACTTACATACTTTGGTTAATTTAATATAATACCCTTTTTATAAATACTTACTACATCCTTTCC